CGCCCCGCGCCCGCACCTTCCCGCCCGCGCCCCGCTGCGCCCCGCGAGCTGCGCCGCCCGCCTCGGCTCTGCGCGAGCCCGCTCTGCCCGTGCGGGTCCCCGCCAGCCGCTCGGACCTGCGCCGCCGCGCGCAGGGCTGCCAGGCGGTGGAAGCACCGCTCCCGCTGCCCAGAGGCTGGCCGCGCACCACTTTGCGCAAACTTGTTTTTCTGTGGTCGGCTGCCTACTTCGTCCTCTTAAGGTGGACTGGGGAAGTGGCGGCCGATTGCCCCTGGCCTCGGCCTCTCACCCGACCAGTCCTAGTCTCCAGAGGGCAGGAGGCTGCCCGAGGCGGGCTGGCGCGGGGTGGAGAGTGGAGGGGCGGGGAGGTTTGCTTTTTGCCCCTCCCCAGAGGCCCTGTCCGTGAAGGTCGGTCTCCGGGTGGGTGTGGGTCTTAGGGGCCCCGAATATTTCCAAGCTGCCCGAGGTAAAGCAAAAGCAGGAAGTAAATGCAGGGGGAAGGAGGAGAGGAAGGAGAGAGTGATGGTACAAAAATAGCGTGTGTGTAGGAAGGACTTCAGTGCCTCTTGGTAAAGACGCGTTGGGGGAGAGGAGCAGCAAGAAAGCTGTGGTGGGGAAAGGAGAGGGGTAGGGCTGGGCCCTAGCGAGGAGACTGACCTGAGGCCTTCTATCAGAAGGAGTAGGTGGAGGGTAGAGAGGGCTCAGGCAGAACTGTGCTGGGAGAGGCCTGGGCTGCAAAATATTGACCCTAACAAGGAAGATGAGAGAAAGGAAAGCCAATCCCAAAGGACGGAGCCTCTGTATGCAAAATGCTCCTAGCTCCAGGTTTCCTTGAGGAAACACCAGAATCCGTTAGGCCGGGTGCTTGGCCATCTGGTAGAAGGCTGGGTACCAAGAAGAAGAATCAAGACCCTCTATTAATTGGAGAGTTTCTGAGTTGGAAGTAAGTTCAGAAACAGCCAATTTTGCTTCCCACGATTGCAGTTGAGGGACATAGTGAAGCAAGGCTGGCCCTGCTGGCCCAGCCTCTAAATAAAGAGGATGTTTGATTGCCTAAGGCCAGACCTCCGGTAGAAAGCCCCTTATGCAATGACACCCCTGTCCTCTGCACCCCTGGCCAAAAGCCTGTTTCAGAGGCTTTTTGTTTGTTTTTGTTTTAATTCCAGAGAGACAGGCAAGGTGCAGCTGTTGAGCACAGGGACCAGATTCCAAACTTTGGATCTTTTCTTCCCATTTTAGAAGCTGCGGACGTGGAGAAAGACCCTGTTTCTGCGTTTCTTCTTCCTTTTAAGCAGACCAGGTCAACATGAGCAGCAACCCAGAACTGCCATTGGGAGAGTTACACGAGCTGATATTTGCACTGCATTTTAAGAAGAGCCTACCATGTACCAAGGGCAAGGACAGTGTTTGAGAAGTGTTTGGCAGCCGTCCTTGAGGGACCACAGGGCAGTCCTAGTGGGAAGAGCAGGTGTATTTCTTTGGGCCTAGGGGAATACAACAAGAACCCACTTGCAGTCTGGTAGAAAGTGCAGATACAGGCAAGCAGAAAGAATGAACACAGGTCCTGTAGGAAGCGTATGTGCACACACATACATGTATGTTAGCTCATTTAGATAAGGACAACAGTATGTGGCCAGCATGTCTGGAGGGTAATCCAGAAGACCATGAGAACTGGTTCTGCAGATGGGAGCACCATTTTTTATTTCTAGGCTCCAGGGGCCAGTATACTTGGAATAGGAGAGGCCTGGAGGGAGGAGAGTATAGAGTCAGGGGACAAGGCAAGAAAGAGAATCTGGGCCTAGCATCTGAGATGGGCTGCAGGGAGAGTCTCCGGCTCTGTCTGTCTGGCAGGATCATGAAGGTGTCCAGTGAAGCCTTGTGAAAATCCTCCTCCAAAATCCACCCGGGGTAGGAGGAGAAAGGGCCTACAGCTGGAGTCAGAGGTGATGTGGCCTCCTGCCCCGTGCTGCTCACGGTTCTGAGGCAGGCACACACAGACACAGACCTGCCTGGGATTAGGAACTGGGGGATTAGAGAGAATAATGATCATACCTCCTGCTATTTATATATACCATCTTTGGCAAAGGCGCTCAGCAGAGCTTCCAAACTTCCCACTTCGCTCTCACAGCCAAGTGTGAGGGAGTTGACATTTGTCCACATAAAAGTCACTTGTGTTCACCCGTCGGTTACTATGAGTCCACTGAGATTTGTGGGCAAATGTGTAAACTAAATGGGCCAGGTACAGCCTTCCTGGGGTCACACACAGATTATGACAGGTGACTGACGTGAGGCAGCCATCACAGCAGCCAGTATGGGTGCTTGAATCCAGCTGTTCTTCCTTCATGCACCTACCAGTAGCATTGAGAGTCTAGAGTGTGCTTGGCAGTGCACGAGGCAGGAAGAACAAACCAGGCACAAGACCCTTGCTGGGGAGCCTACAGATAGATTAACCTGTGATGCTTCACATGTCACGTGGGTATCAGTGCTCCAGCGAGGAATAAACAGAGAAGGGCCAAGGGTACCCACAGAGAGGGGCACTGCAGTTCCAAAAGGCCAGATGGGGAGATGACTTATTTGGAGCCCATTTCTTGCCTCTCCGCTGTCCATTCCTCACTCAGCAGCCAAGGAATCCTTTTATGTGAGGTTGAACAGGAAAGATTTCCTTTCATCCTTTTCCTTGGTGTGTGTGTGTGTGTGTGTGTGTGTGTGTGTGTGTGTGTGTGTGTTGGAGTGCTGGGTGGGGCGAGGCATGCCAGAAAGGAGACTTGAATGAGAGGGAGGGAAAGAATTGGGAACTTTAAAGCTAAGACACAAGCAATTTAACTTAAGCAATTAGGGTTTTTCGTATGAATGGCAACTAGTGGTCATCCTCTGTAAGACTGACAAAGGCACCCTGGTGTTCATCCATGTTCTCTCCTTGAAGCCCCAACCACCCCTCGGTGTTTCTAGGTGCAAGGTACAAGGCCAGACAGACATCTACTTGTCCAGGACCTTTCTGCCAGGCTTGCTGGGGCCTGCAGAGACACAGTGCTGCTGATAGAGCCTTGCCCACGCTCACCGCTGATTCCCATAGCCCTGGGCTGGCATCAGCAGGCCAGCCTGCCTGGCTGCCTTTGTGTGGGACCTGTCAGGAGGCTCCAGCTGTCAACGACCTATTTTTACAGGGCAAGAGGAGCCATTTGGAGTTGGAGGCCTCAGCTCTGAAGCCAGAGCAATTAGAAGTAAAAGCACCACAGACCCCTGGGCAGCGTGGACGGCAAGGGCCAGCCATACTGGAGGGAAGTCGCTGAGCAGGCTGGGATCAGGGTATGAGGTAACTGACTAGCTCTCATGTGCTCTCTGACCCCCAGGTGGGCCACTCTGAGCCCCACAGCAGCCCCTTTCTGGCAGTGGCTGCCGTCATTCTCATTCCATAGCTGTAGAAATAGAATCTCAGAGGGTGTCATGACTTACCTAGGACATACAGCTGTTAGGTGTCCAAGTAGTCAAGATTTGAATTTTGAATTCAATTCTTAATAATAATAATAATGATAATAAAAATAATCTATTTGTTCAGCATATACTACTATGCTTTTCAGTCTTTCTTAATTTTTTATTTATTTTATTTCATGTGCCTTGGTTCTTTGCCTGCACGTATATCTGTGTGAAAGTGTTAGATCCTCTGAAACTGGAGTTACAGGCAGTTATGAGCTGTCATGTGGGTGTTGGGAATTGAACCCGAGTCTTCTGAAAGAGCAGCCAGTGTTCTTGACCTCGGAGCCATCTATCCCTGAAGTCTTGTTCTCGTGACATATTCATGTCATATCTGGTTACTCTTCCACTTTACAGCAGAGGAAGACAGAAGTTGAAACCACCCCTCTGCTTGGCCTCTCTCTGTGTGGCCTTGCCAGAGCTCCTTGTTGGTCACACCACTGCTCCACCAATCCACCCTGTCCTTATCCCTAGTTTATCTCACCTTTACAGCATGTGCTGTAGTATGTCAGCCTTGTGACTCTTACTGAGCCAACCTCCCTCCAGGTTGGCTCGGCCCAGAGGCTCAGTGGTTGTGTCTGGGGACAGATCCAATGGCTCAGCGGTTAGCTACAAAGTGAATTACCTCCTTGTATAGATTGTGTAGATTAGGGCAATGATAGGGGCCTACCCGAAAAGTTTCTTGTAAGGGTTAAGTGAGTTCCTATGGGCTATTACAACTGTTTTCCCTAGAACCGCAGCCCCGGGACTTTCAGCAGTAATCAGTAGGTTGTCAATTAGCATGTGTTAGATTTATGAAGTGATCTGTCCCAGCTCACAGAGTGGGGAAGCTCACATTTCAAGGCAGGTTCTCCACCCAGCCTGTGCTCCAGCCACCACACTTGACAATCAGCTCTTCAGCCACAGCCCCCCAACATCTGTGATTTTCCAATGTGGGTGAACTTCAGATCCCCTAGAAAGATTGTTAAACATGGCTTCCAAAGCCCCATGCCAAATTCAGTGGGTGTCAGGTAGTCTGAGAACCTGCATTCTTAGCGAAGGCCCCAGGAAGCTGATGCTGCAGGCTTGGGGACTACACTGAGTTAGATAGGAATGGTTTGTGAGC